CCACCGCAGCCTCGACCTGCCGGGCTCCAGTGATCCTTCCGCCTCAGCCTTCCGAGCAGCCGGAATTACAGGCTCGCACTATCACACCTGGCTGATTTTTGATTTATTGTAGAGATGAGGTCTCGCCAAGTTGCCCAGGCGGGTCTCGAATCCGCGGACTCAGGCAATCCTCTCACCTCAGCCTCCCAAGGTGCGGGATTACAGGGTGAGCCACCAAGCCCACCTTCAACTGAATTCTTAATCAAAAACCTTCTCCTATCGCCTGGGCCCAAGAGTTCGAGGCTGCAGTGAGCTATGATCACAGTCTCTGCACTCCAGTCTGGGCAACAGAGCAAGATCTTGTCTTTTTAAAAAGCAATAACAACAACAAAATCTTTCTCCTAAACAAAATCCCTGGTCCAGATGGTTTTACTGATGAATCATTATTATTATTATTTTTAGTAGGAGTCTCACTCCATCACCTAGGCTGGAGTGCAGTGGCACGCTCACAGCCACCCCGGCATTGACCTGTTGGGCTCTGGCGATCCTTTCGCCTCAGTCTTCTAGGTAGCTGGAACTACAGGTGTGTGCTACCACACCAGCTAATTTTTTGATTTATTGTAGAGACAAAGTCTCACCATGTTGCCCAGGCTGGTCTCAAACCCACAGGCTCAAGCAATCCTCTCACCTCGACCTCCCAAAGTGCTGGAATTATAGGCTTGAGACTGCACCTGGTCTACTGAGGAATTCTATGAAACATTAAAAAAGAAAATTTTATTAAATTTTTAATAAAAAAAATAATTACCCTTACGCTTATCACCAATTGGCTGCTGCATTTGCCTGCCTGGTTTCCTGCCCTCCCTTCATGTTCTGATAGCAATGCCTAGACTTGCCTTTGGAAAACAGCTCTCCCGGATTTTCAGTCTACGTGGTTTGTGTGAGACTGACCCAACCCTTGTTTCAGGGATAGGCACAAGACTCCCTGTGGCCAATCTGAACAATGCACCCTCCTGGCCACACAGAACAGTTCAAGGATAGACCTGTAACCCAAACTGGGTCAGTTGGTCAGTCTTGGGAGGTATGCTGGACTGTGCATTGGGGTTATCCAGGAAAGAAAAGTAGAGAAATTGAGAGAGAAAATGAATGTGTCCTGGTGACATTATTTGAGTTCTTGGATCCAGCCATGCCTGAAAAATTTAAATTATGAAGGCAATAAAATTTTTTTATGTCCCTCCTTTTTTTAATGCTTAAGTCAGGCTAGGTGGGTTTCTGTTACTTATAACTGAAAAACAATGCTAACATACTACCCAAACATGACCTTGGTAAACATTTTGGTGTGTTCCTTTCAACTATTTTTAATCTATGTGTAAGTCTTTTAAAAAATAGGTAAGGCTGGGCTTGGTTGCTCAGCCTGTAATCCCAGCACTTTGGGAGACTGAGACGAGTGGATTGCCTGAGCCCATGGGTTCAAGATCAGCCTGTGCAACTTGGTGAGACCTCAGCTCTACAGTAAATAAATAAAAAAATAGCCGGGCATGGTAGCGTGCACCTGTATTTCCAGTTACTTGGACGGCTGAGGTGGAAGGATCGCTGGAGCCCAGCAGGTCGACGCTGGGGTGGTTGTGAGTATTCCACTGCACTTCAGCCAGGGCGACAGAGTGAGACTTCAACTCAAAAAACAAGCAAAAAAGAAACAGTTAAGATTATACTATATAGAGTTTGTATCTATATGCCTTTACTATCTTAAAATTTTATCATACCCTTTTTTGTTATTATAGGCCAGCATACTTTTTTTTTTTTGAGTTGGAGTCTCACTCTGTCGCCCAGACTGGAGTGCAGTGTGGCCGCTCCCGGCCACCACAGCCTCGACCTGCTGGGCTCTGGCGATCCTTCCACCTCAGCCTTTCGAGTAGCCAGAATTACAGGCATGCGCTACCACACCCAGCTGATTTTTTGATTTATTGTAGAGATGAGGTCTTGTTGCCCAGGCGGGTCTTGAACCCGCGGGCTCAGGCAATCCACTCACCTCAGCTTCCCAAAGGCGCGGGATTAGAGGCTGAGCCACCGAGCCCGGCTCGGCCAGCATACTTTTATTGGCTGTAATGACAGCATAACATTATGGCTGGGCTATAAAATCCCCACTGACTGGTATGAAGCCAGACTCCAGCATTCGTTTCTAGTTGTGTGTCCCTGGGCATGCTGCTTAACCTCTTTAAGTCTCGCTTTCCTCAACTGTAAAATGGGAACATAGAAGTAAAATTTTAGTACCTGGCACATACTAAACATTCAATAAATGTTAGCTATTACTATTATTATTGTTGTTGCAGCAGGTAGATATACCAAGGTTTATTTACTACCTGATTATTGTACATTTAGGTGGTTTCCACATTTTTCTTATTAGAAGCAATACTGTGGTGAGCATCTTAATGCATAAAGCTTTTCCTCCCCTCATTGGAATTATTTTTCTATGACAGATCTCCAGAATTGGAATTATTAGGTCTAAAAGTATGTAAAATTGTTTTCTAGAATAGTTCAAGTTTACATTTGGCATTTTTGAAGCAGATACTGTATTATGTTTCATCTTCAAATGTACATTTCATTTTTTACTAGAATAGAAATTCTGTGCATTCCTGGATTTTTTTCAAGGTTATTCTAGCACTTCAGAATTCCTCAGTACTCTGGGAATGGTTAGAGAAAGTTCACAAGCAGAGTATATAGAAAACAAATGGTGACTTTACAGCTTTAGAGTCTCTCTGTCTACAAATACGGACCTGCTATTACATGGGCGCATATGTAAATGCTCGGAAATAGCTATAGGTTTTCTCCCGAGAGGGGCCCCAAAGTCTCTCTTTTTTTTTTTTTTTTTGAGTTGGAGTCTCACTCTGTCGCCCAGACTGGAGTGCAGTGGCCGCTCCCGG